CTATTGTAGACTTTTTAAATGAAGTGACCCAGTGAAGTGTGTGACAACCGAGAATTGTTATAGATAGAAATGAACAATGCTAAATTGAACAGATGTTTATACAGTGAAAGTATCAAGATGTGGATGTTATTAACGTTTCATAAATATATTTTTCACGTTATACATGTTTATAACGACATCAGCTTTGTGTCCTTCACTGTATTGTATACTCGTTGCAATTTTTCTCAACAAAAGTTCTGAAATAAAAATATTTAACCGAATGTTAAAGGGCGGTGGTCGTCGCGCCGCGTCCTGTTACAATTGTTTGTTTATATGTAATTGGAACACGTGATGCGTGGTGACGACCACCACCCTTTAACACTGTTCTTAATAGCAATAATTGCATTCCAGCTATTAATATCGCTAAATTGAATTTACTTTCAATGACATTATTAGTCCCGGTTCGGACGTAGTCCGAAAACGGGGACTTATGGTTTGCCCTGTGTGCGTCCGTGTGTCCGTGCGTCCGTGATCACCTGTATCTCGAACATGCATGGACCGATTAAGTTCAAACTTCACTCATACATCACACATTATATGGGACATATGCACATGCATTTTTTCATGATCCGATTAACGATAGCCGAATAGCGGCCATTTTAAGGCCGAAAATGCATCAAAATCGCACATTTTCACCATTCCGGACCCGGATCTCAGTTATGCATGGACGGATTTTGTTCAAATTTGGTACATACATTTAACATAATAGGACCTTGATGCACTTTTTTTTTCGGATCAAGTTCGAAATGGCCGACTGGCGGCCATTTTGTTTTAAAGAATTCAGTTCTGGATCTGTATCCGAGACATGTCTGGATTGATCAAGTTCAAACTTCACACACACATGGTGCATCATGTCACAAATAGATATTTGCATTTGTTTCATGATCCGCTTAATAATAGCTGAATGATGGCCATTTTAAGGCCGAAAATGCATCAAAATCACGCATTTTCACAATTCCGGAACCGGATCTCAGTCATGCATGGATGAATTTTGTTCAGATTTAGTGCATATATTTAACATAATATAAGCTTAATGCACACCAATTTTTCTTCGGATCAAGTTCAAAATGGCCGACTGGCGGTCATTTTATTTTAAAGAATTTAGTTTTCGATCCGTATCTCGGACATGCCTGGACAGATCAAGTTCAAGTGTCATACATACATCATACATGTTGTACACACATGTATGCGTGTTAGGTGGCTCAAGATCTGATTTAAGATAGGTGTATAATATCCATCAAAGGTCAAAAATTCGTCAAAATTGCAATATTCACCATGGGTGAATTTAGTTCACACTTCATGCATACATTGTACATTATGGTACCTTGAATCACGTTGTTTTGTATTCCAAATCGGGTTTTAACTGAATACAGTTCAGCATCCATATCTCAGGCATGCCTGAACCGATCAAGACCACACTTCACACACATCATACAATGTGTTGTACATATGCTGGAGATTTCGGTCATGATCTGCTTTGAATGTATATGTCACTCAAATATGAACGGAACGGGGACGTGTCATTGACAATGACTTGTATACGACTTGTTTCGTGTCACCAACTGTTTCGTTCACACACATGAGAAGAAATTATTTTCGAGATCGTGACGATTACTTAGATGCTAAGCTGTCAGTGATGTAAGAAATATGCAAATTTTTTTCAAAATGTCGCTTTTCTGTGCTGTCGTTTACTGTCCATCCGATGAGCTCAATGTTTCTGGCTTCCCAATATACCTTGACTTGTCTGAAACAAATGAACAAAACGTTTAACATTTCTTCGGAAACCTAGATTTTGAATTCCGGTTTCAAGAGTGAAAAAGATGTAATGTATGTAATGTCTGCTACCTTCTTTTTTAAGTCGTCGCGATGCGTCGTGATTTGTATGGGTCCCATACGACATATGATATAGTGTTTGCTTACACCATATTTGAACGCTACACCGTGAGTGTGCCGCTTTACTTGTGAACTATGGGCGTATTTGAGCTTTGTCACAATCTTATCTTGTAAACCGTGAAATTTGACATTTAATCTGATTTTTTAAAATCGGAAGTGTTCAATTTCAATCTGATCAGATTAATCTGAACATGTAAACACCTATTAAATAATCTGATAAATCAGTTTGATCAAATAAACCTGACTTGATCCATATCGTTCAATAATTTTTGTATAGGGGTTGTCATTGTCAATGGGTATTCCACGAGCGAAGTCAAGGTTGTTGACAGTATTGTGTGTTCGTCTCACGAATTAACCTAGTAATCAAAATGAGAAGAAAAAAGTTACTTACTCTGAGACTTCTTTGTCGAATAAGAGAAAGGCTGAGTTTCCACATAGGTACCACAGCCATGAATGGTGCGACCAATAAAGTAGAACGTCGAGTATCGGCGGAGCCGCTGACTGCCACGTTTCAAATTCTCGGTACTCAGCTGTCGGGTCCGATGTCGCATATGTCAGGGCGCCAGTACGGTAAAGCAACCCGGTAACTATGTTGGAATCAAGGAGTCTTAACTGTGGGTGAAAGATCATAAGACGTAATTAACATAATTATTTGTGGATAAACTGAAATTCATTCAGCATGAAGAGTAGGGGTTAGCAACAAATTCTATGAACTCTAGCGGCCTAACTCGACGCAGATACCCTGCTGTAGACATTTATTTGTCGCACCGTTCTGACAATTCGAAACAAACTCTCCAAAAATGTCAGAAGGCTGTTTGTTTAGGATTTCGTGTGAAAATTGCAACATATCCGTATCACTTTCCGTTGGATAGTACTACAAACCCAAGCCCAGTCACGAAGATTGTATAGTATATTTGTATATATATATATATATAACACCCGAAATTGGATTATGTGTATAATTATCAACATCAAACACAGTCATTGACAAATAATGGGATTTACTGAATATTGACTCACCCTGTAAATAGTCTCAGGAAAGAAGGAAATAACCATCGATGTCTGATAAAGTATTTTGTATTTGTTGTAAAGATCTGACAGGGTTTGGGCAGTCTGTGAAAAAAGTGTTATACTGTAGAATACTTTATTTTTGCTTGGACTTAATTTTCGCCATTTTCGCTGAAGGAATGATTCAGTGAAAATAAAATCCATACAAAACGCTCAAAAATTTTTTTTTCAGCGAAAGTTAATTCCATCTAAAATAAAGTATTTTTCAGTACATTAGACTGACAAGATTGCGTGAGTTGCGCCTTCCGTGGTACTCCAAATCCAACCGTGACAGTAGGGTCTGATGCCGTTCGGCCGGTGAGGGCGCCGCTCACGCCTACATGTCAGGCTACTGTAACATCATTATTCATTCATTTGAGTATTACGTGTTATGGGGATGGATGGTGAATAATTATGCATGCAAAGCGTCAACTTGTTCCCAAAATACTATGTCCGGTGACCACATCCACTATTTTTCGTCACAATTCGTCACGAACACTAAAATGAATCGGTAAGTAGGTACCACGCCGATTGAAGGGATTTAGATAGAAAACGTGAATTAATGAGCCCACACATTGAAATAAATATAAATAAGTTAGGAAGTGTCGAATACCTGTTTAGGATTGGCTTTCACATCCAGGAATATCTTAAGTCCGAGTTTTAAACATTCTTCAGTGGCTTCTTCTAGTGTCGGAATCCGCTCATTGGCAAACTGTGAACTTCAAGATGAAAAAAGGTCTGATCATGAGATTTGGTAGACTGGCACAGTCGCAATTACTTTACGGCATTTTACTGATCGCAAAAAACAAAAAAACAAAACAAAAACGGTGGGCATATCGGGTCGTGTCAGAAAAATACAATTAACAAAGAAAAGCATGACATTGATCAACATACAGGTATGTCAGCACTATAAATATCGGATATAGCGTAGTGATATATTACTTGATATTTTAAATGTGTAATTACGATTTGATAATTAATATAATTAATTGCCAGTGGTTAATTATAAAGATTCTCGGTGAATAATTTTACGATCTGTGACACCTTTTTTACATTGCTTCACCCTCAAAAACATGAACACTTGCAGTAGAAAATATCCTGCATAATAATTTATTTGTTAGTAGTACTGTAAAACCATTTATTTTCACTGACATTTAATTTCACTGTTTTGATGTTTTGAGCATTTTCACTGTGTTTTAATTTCACGAATTTGTCAATAAAACAATGAGTTTATTGTTATTTTACATGTTCACCTAGATTTAATTTAGCGGATTTTACTTATCAGCTAAAATAACGAAATTAAAACCGAGTGAATAATTAATAAATTTACAGTATACAAAAGTAACCGAAAAATAAACATTCCGTTGATATCATCTTGCTCTTTGTGCTCGTGAAATCTCAACTGAGTATTAGTCCAAACCAAAACATAGGATATAATTGATCCCGTAATTTCACCAACATTCGAAGAACGTACCTCAATCTGTGACCATGTGATGCATCTAGCTTTCTGACTTCTTCAAATGTAAATGAGTTTATGTTTCCGCTTCCGTTGGTAGTGCGATCCACTGTAGAATCATGCAGTAAAATCGGAACGCCATCTTCAGTAAACTCAAGATCAAGTTCCACTCCATCAGCACCGTTCTTTTTCGCCTGAAATAGTAACACATATATGAAGCTTTATTCATGTAGATTTCGCAAACTATGTATATTTCATTTTTAATCTTGTTGATAGTTGCATTTAGTGATCATGCATATCGCGGATTGACTTTTATATGTCAATTATTTAAATTAAAATATTTTTTGGATATGACGATTCTAAACTCGCGTGACGTAGTGTATGAGACGGTGGCGACTATTCCAAGTCTTACTCAGATCAACAGGTGGCGGAAAATATCTCATCTTGATCTTCTAAGAGAGAAGATCTTACGACAGAGGAGGGCCAATAATTTCTGGTGACATCCACTGTACTTCCGACAAGCATGACAGGCAGTTTTTACCGCGAAGTACACGGGGGAGGGGCATACACTAGGGACATGAACAGCATAGCACATGGGAACGACAGTCTAACATACTAGTACTCCCAAACCTAATACCGTGTTCGGTATAATTTATAATGCCAAGTGAAGAGTCGAGATCGAAGCCATATATAGACCTGATCCAATACAAAAACGCGTTATCTACACCAATCCCAAGGTGTTGACATATACATATTCAAAATTATAATTACTAAAGAAATTAAAACAATTCTTCTACAAAATTGTGTAATTTCGGAACTTCTTCAAAATAGTAATGAGTGCAACATATTGATACCTAGTAACGTTATTTCTCAAATTATACGTGTTATTTTTACCAGGGTACATGAACAGTGAACATACTTTTGATTGGTATCCCAAATGAACTACTGCGCACTGATTAAATATTATATAATGTTTTGTGGCTTGTTTTTTTTTTTTTTTAAATTGTAAGCAAGATTGATACGTGTTCATGGCAGCGACAGAGCCAACTATTCTCAATGTAAGTTGCTTCCCTGCGTAGTCCCAACTTAATGACCTGTTGCTAACTGACCGATATCTTGAACAATTCCTCGAAGTAGTATTAAATAATTAATACAAATTGGCAGTTTGCAAAATCGTAAACATGCGTTTCGTGACACTCACCTCTCTGATGGCAGCAATGGTGTTCTCAGGGGCGTCGTGACCACCCCCTCTATGTGCGATCACCAACACTCTGTTTGGTTCCAGTACGGGATCTGTGGCAGACCGCGGCAACTGAGGTATCCGAAGACCGACAACCACGAGTATGGCAACAAAAACAGTTCCGATGGCAGAGAAAATGTATTTGCGCGTGCCACGCCCTGGTAATACTATCTGCGTTGTGACATAACTCACTAAAAATACTGAAATCAAGTTAAAGATCACGGAACAGTGAACATTTAACACCATTGGAAGAGGTAGTACCATGATCTGAAGCCGATGGAGTGCTGCTCTGAATTCGGTTCTCTGGTCCAAAGTCCGAAAATCGTAGGGCCGGACTTCAGAAGACGTACCTACACTTTAAGCAATTTGTTTTAATTATGCTAATTTATTCATGACGTAGCAGTTTCTGTGCTCATTCTAAAAGGGGCGATATATTATTTTGGGGGGAAGAGTTAGAAAGGAGGATTAGCAATCCTTAGGGGGTCAATACAAAAGAAGGGACTCATTTGGAGAGCAGCAATTGCTCTTGGTGTCTGTTGTTGTACGTGACCTAAAGCTGTCAACTTCGACGACTTCCATGTGAGGTAGTATTCTTGTGTTCTGTTTTTCTGACTTGAGTTCTTGATATACGAAGTTGCTGTTTACGTTTTTAACGTCTTTCATATCTTGTCTTGTAGGAGTGTACTGTCCGTGATTTGAAGTTACAATCTTTGAGTTCCTAGTGCACTGTCTTGTCCACTGTACGACGAGTGTCTTCATAGAAGTGATAGGATTTAAGTACTACTTATAGGAGCACTGTTTTCACTAGCATTCAAAAATCATGCTAACCGTACTGGATTACATAGTGTGTATATATATAGAAATACAACATATTTCTATTATTGAGTTACAATTGTCCACAAAATTG